TTAAAAAGGGGCTGCAACGGATCTGATACAGACTGATCCAGATTTGAACACTTCTATGAGGTCACAGAAGTGGCGCTACGGCTATTGGGCCAACTCCACCAATCAGGAGGAGACAGCCACGGACATTGCCGTTGGAAAGCGCTGGAGACGCTGTAGTACATAAGCCAGGCCTGTAGATGGTGCTGTTCTCACAGAATCAGCCCATGCAAAGACAGTGTTAAATTGAGCGAAATGAGGAATGGCTAAAATGCATGATCTGTTTGGTATTTTGAAAAATAAAAAGTATAAATATGCCTTATATAGGTATGGTCCTACACTATATTATTCAAATATAGCATGATAGGTCCACTTTAAGTTAAAACAAACCTTTTCAACTAGCTAGACATCCAGGTATCTTTTAACACCGTTCTATCTTTTGATGAAGGAGTCCATTCTCATTCGTAGACTTGCTGTCATCTTTTCCATCGTGTGTAGACATGTTTATTGTGCAGTGAAGCTAATTCGAGGGAAATTAAACTGCAACCTGAACTTTTGAAACACTTGCACTATTTATATTGTATTTTATTTGTATTACTTGCACTATTTTAACTATTTTACCAGTTTTATTGTGTTGCACCGTTGGAGGAGCCTGTGACCTCATATCTTCATTCACATATCTACACTGTAGCTGTGTACACAAGACAATAAAAGCCTTGAATCTTGAAACTAAGTGCACTTGTGTGTTGCTGCACTGACCTGGTCTCTCTCCTTCTCCAGCTCCATGATCTGGTTGAAGTAAGATAAACTCCTCTTCTGCTCCGTCTCCCAGTCCAGCTGCAGGGTTCTCTCCTTCAGCTTCAGATGCTCGGACTGCGACACCAACTACAAACACAGATGACTTTAAAACCTCTATTCAAAAGCAGGAGAGAAACACAAACTTTGACAGAACGACATTTACTTTTAGACATGATTTTGAAGTAAAAAAAAGAGTTTAATCTCACTCACAGTCTCTCTTAGAGTCAAAATCCTATTACGACAATAAGAAACGGTCTTGTTTTATCTTGTGTCATGCCTACACTTGAGTGGATCATGAAATATTGGGTATGGAATGTATCTGGTTCAAAATTCGCCCACATTTTTCATTTTCTTTTTTATGGATGTTAGTTCTGTGAGACTGCAACAGGCAAGGTACGGATCTGGATCTGATTGAGCAGCTTTTGATCACTTGTGGATAGACATTAGGGAGTGAGGAAGAGTCAATAACCGTTTAAAAGAGTCAATACATTTTATTTCCTTAAAACAATTATCAATAACCCCAAACCGAAAGAGGTATTTGAGCCTACAGTGATACATGTCCACAAGAAATATGAGCCTGATGGATCCTGTAGTGTGTGTGAGGTTAGCATTGGCAGATTCAGATGCATTATGTCCTCGAAGCTTAGGCCTGGTGGGGAACACATCATGTTAAGGATACTGAGTGAGTCGTTGCTCACCTTGTCCCAGTCCTCCTCGGTGCCCTGCAGCTCCCCCTGCAGTCTGCTGATGATGTCACAGAGCTCCTGCCTCTGATCTAAAGCCTCCCGCCGGTCCTGCTGCAGGATGTCCATCAGAGCCTGAGGGAAACAACACAAAGCTCTTTTTAAACCCAGAAACACTAGAAACTTCACAAGACAACAATACACTGGGGGTGTCCGAACGACAGCCCTCAGCTAATTCAAAAAGTATAATGAAATATGGCCCACAAATTAGCCTTGTGCTTGTTTTATATTGTACATCTTAACCCTTAGATGCACGAGTGACTGGACCCTACACTCTTCAATAAGTGGGTCAAAAAGGACCCATCCATCCATCCATCTTCTCCCGCTTATCCGTGGTCGGGTCGCGGAGGTAGCAGTTCCAGCGGAGAGCCCCAAACTTTCCTTTCCCCTCATCAACCAGCTCTGACTGGGGGATCCCAAGGCGCTCCCAGGCCAGCGAAGAGATATAATCCCTCCACCTGGTCCTAGGTCTACCCCTTGGTCTCTGCCCAGCTGGACGTGCCTGGAACACCTCCCTAGGGAGGCGCCCAGGTGGCATCCTAACTAGGTGCCCGAACCACCTCAACTGGCTCCTTTCGACGCGAAGGAGGAGCGGTTCAACTCCGAGTCCCTCCCGGATGACCGAACTTCTCACCTTATCCCTAAGGGAGACACCAGCCACCCTGCGGAGAAAACCCATCTCGGCCGCTTGTACCCGCGATCTCGTTCTTTCGGTCATGACCAAAAAAAAAGGACCCGTATTAGAATAATATGTTTTACTTTTTATGCCATTTTTGTCATTTTGGTTAAGAAAAATCACTTGTATAATAATTAGTATTATATTTTGGTTCACACTAGAAATATTCTATATTTAATTTTTCACTATTTATATAATTTTAGACATTATT